TCCACCCCACAATATCAGAATATACATTCTTCTGAGCTGCACATGGGGCATTCTTTCCAAATAGACCATATATTATTCCATAGACCATGATTAAGCAAATTAAGAGATACTGAAATTATCCTAAGCATATTGTCTGACCATAGTGTAATGAAAATGGAAATGAACAGCAGAAGAAACTACAAAAACTACAGAACCACATGGAAATTAACACTCTTCTGAAGAACCAATGGTCACAGAGGAAATTAAAGAAGAAATTAAACAATATCTAGAATTAAATGAAAACGCCAATACAACATACTGAAACCTATGGGACATAATGAAAGCAGTCCTATGAGAGAAATTTATATTGGTAAATTCTCAAATCAGGAAAACAGAGCAAGCTCAAATAAGCAACTTAATGTTGAACCTCAAACTTCTAGAAAAGAAAGAAAAAAATCAAACCCAAACCTTGCACAAGAAAAGTAACTATAAAGATCAGAGCAGAAATTAGTACTACTGAGAGTAAGAAAAAAACAGAAAGAACCAATGAAACAAAGACTTGGTTCTTTGAAATATTAAATAAAATCAATAAATCCCTAGCCAACCTTATCAAAAAGAAGAAAGAAAAGATCCAAATTCAAGCAATTAGAAATGAAAAGGGTAATCCAGGTGTGGTGGTGTGCACTTGTAATCCCAGAACTGGGGAGGCTGAAAACAGGAGGATCACTATGAGTCCAAGATGTGTAGTGACACTCTGTACCAAATACACTAAAAAAATAAAAAATAAAAAAATGAAAAGGGTGAAATCACAATGGATCCTGTAGAAATCCAAAAGATCATCCATACCTACTTGAAGAACCGAGACTCTAATGAGGTGGAAAACAGAAAAAATGGACAGATTACTAGACATATATAAATTACCAAAACTGAATCAAGAAGATATAAATAACCCAATATCAATGAAGTTGAAAATATAATTAAAAACCTATCAACATCCCCAGCTAAGCAAAACAAAACAAAAAACCTAGCAACAACAACAACAAAAAGCACACGTCCTGATAGATGCACTGCTATAAGAAATTTATTTATTCTCCCCAGCTCATAAGATTTGACACTTTTTTAAATTTTTTAATTTTTGGTAGAACTGGGGATTGAACTCAGGCCCTTGTGCTTACCAGGCAAGCGCTTATTCTACTGAACTATCTCCCTGCCCCTCTATAAGAAATTTAGAGACGATCTAATTCCACTAATACTCAGACTCTTTAATAAAATTGAAAGAGAGCTTTCCGAAGTCGACCTCCTTGTGTGTGGAGGTAATGGTGGTTCTGTCCGTGCCGAACCTGAAGGCCTTTCTTTGACATCTGCAAAAGTAATGGATGGAGACAGGCCAGGATTTTGGCGGTCCCAAATCAAGCATAGATGGTGTAATGGTCTTTCTGCTTTATATGACCTTCTGAAGTTAAGTTCAGCTGCATGCTGGTCTACCTAAAATCTCTAGTGCTAATCTTTGAGTGGTTAAAATGAGGATTGAAGATGTTGACTGTGGACTTTGAAGGAAGTCATGTGAAAACTCATCTTACAAGCTTACAATGTTGAGTTGAAGGATCTTCATGATGAAATTTCCATAAATGGTAATATTCTCCCTCCCATCCTCAGGGAGCTCCACTGGTTCCAGACCTGGGCCTGGACCCAAAGTGTATGATTCATGTAAGCAGAGAAGACCTGCGAGTCTCAGGTATTTGTGATATGAGACAACGCTGAACGGCTTTGCAGGCAAATAATAAGATGGTTCTCCTGATGTCTGTTATCTCTCTGTGCTGGACCAGCTCTAACATTAATAAAACTGTCTCCTCAAAATCAAAAAAGTTCTTTAGGTTTCATCTAAGAAAGCTTTGGCAGTTGGTGAAATTAAAGAGTATGAGAACTTTCAGAATCCAGTTTAAGTGTCCTGCCATGTATAGGAGGGACTGCGGCGATTGTAAATTGAAATTGACGTGTATCATATACTCTGTTGGGAGTCTATAAAGAGAAATGTGCTTAGTTTGGAAATGTCTTTCTGGGTGGATTTCTTACCCAGTGTCTTGGTTTTAAAGTTTGAAGCACAAATAAAGTTTTTTTAATTGGCAAAAAAAAAAAAATCGAAAGAGAAGCAATACTTTCAGAATCATTCCTGAAAGCAAGTATTACCCTGATACCAAAACCAGAGAAAGAGCCAACCAAAAAAGAAAACTATAGGCCAATCTCCTTACTGAGCATAGATGCAAAAATCCTCAATAATATACTGGCAAACAGAATGCAGCAAATCATCAAGATTATATACCATGAGCAAGTGACATTCATGCCAAAGATGCAGGGATAGTGCAACATACATAAATCAACAAATTTAATACACTATATTATCAGAGCCAAAGACAAAAACCATGATCATTTCAATGGATGTGGGAAAAAACATTTGAAAAAACACACCACCTATTCATGGTAGCCTACAGAAAATTGGAATAGTCTTTATCTTAATCTGATAAAATCTATCTATGACAAACCAATGGCCAATATTATACTGAATGGTCAAAATAGAAAATCTTTCACTCTAAAATCAGGAACAAGACAAGTATGTGTACTATCACCACTCCTATTTAGTATAATTCTGGTGGGGCAACCTACTTTCCAGGTCCCCTTGTGTCCTTTTCAAACAGAAGTTTCTTTTTTATTTTTATTTTTTTTAATTTTGATACAGGGTCCCTCACAATGGTTTGTATCTAGATGTCTCCCCAAGTGTCATGTGGTCATTGGAGGAGTTTTTCAGAGATGGCTGGATCTAGGTTGTGTGCTGCTGGGAGTAAGGATGCTCCACTCTGGATGTGGGTGCTTCCCTCCCTAAAGGGAGCACTTAATCCCCAAAGGAATATAAGGGAGAGCAAGAGGGCTGCTGCTGTCATTTGCTTCTGCTGCCTCCAGCCCACTCTGCGATGCCCCTTGCCATGCCACCCTCCCTTGAAGCCAGCTGATTATGAACTGAAACTTCTACAAACTGTGAGCCAAAATAAACCTCTCCTGCTCTAACTTGAAGTGTTGAGTATTGGGCTGGAGAGATGGCTCAGTGGTCTAAAGCACCTACTTGGAACAAGCTTGGCAAAGCACAGGGACCGCGGTTCAATCCCCCAGCACCACATGCCAGCCAGCCCAGCCCCCTGGTGGGCTGAGCTGGCCACACACACACACACACACACACACACAAATAAATAAATCAAAACAAAACAAACAAAAGACTGCAAAAGAAAATCATTAGATGTGGAAATGAATAAATAGAAAATTTGAGAATTGAGCTATAATTTATATAGTTAATATAATTTATACCAATTTATGAATTATAAAGGAAAATATAGTAATATTCTGATGGAGAAACCTAACAGACACCCTCCTAATCAAATACTCAACATTAAGGTCATCAGTAACTGGACAAATCAATATTACGTGCTTCCTGTTGCCAAGCACTGGGAACTCAGAATTACCTTTGTCACATTCCTGTCAGAAGTATTTAACTGGAATCTAACCATGAGGAAATATAAGACAATTCAAACTGGAAGACAAAATAACTGGCCAGCAGTCTTTGATTGAATCAATGTCATGAAAGACAAGGAACAAAAAATATAACAGTTAAAGATCACACAGATGACAACAGAGTGCCCTGCATACTCTGGAATTTTCCTTTCTTCTAGTATTGATATATTTGATGAACTCTGGATATGTTGATAAACAATGGTATCTACGTTAATATTCTGCTTTGGTAATTGTTTAGTAGTTAAGTAAATTAATGCCCTTTTCTTTTTTCTTTTTCTTTTTCTTTTTGTCTTTTGGGGACAAGGTCTCACTATGCAGTTCAGGCTGGCCTTGAGCTCACTTTGTAACCCAGGCTGGTCTTGAACTCACAAGGATCCTCCTTCCTCAGTCTCCCTGAGTGCTGGGATTATAGGCAGGTGCCACCACACCCAGCTTACAAATGTTCTTTGTTTTTAAGAAAATGCCCAGTGAAGTATTTTGGGACAATGGGGTGCAGTGCCTATAACTTACTCTCTAATAGTTCAGAAAAAGTAGAGCGGAAGGGAGAGAAGTTTGACTGGGATGTAAGCCCATGAAAGTCAAGGACTGAAACCTACATCCAACTATTACTAAGTAGAATCAAAAGTTCTATTTACCCTTCCTGACTTTATTTCTACTCTCTGCCTAAAAGAAGCATTACCCACGACTTGGGACATATCTTTCCTTCCTTCCCTTCATATTGGACCTTTAGAGTCAAATCAAGAGCACAAACAGCCCACATTCCACGGTAGTCCGCAGGGTCTTGAGTACCTTGTTTAGTCTGCTATTTGCACCTGTCTGTTTAGATTACAACCTCCACGTGGCCAAGGCTGAGTGGCTTGCAAAGCGTTGGCAGGAAGGCAGCATTCTGAGACTATTTACCAAAGGTGGCTGAACTGAGGGTGGCAGGCTGCCCAGATAAATTAAATCTGCCTTTTTTCAGGTCCATTCAAACCTAAAGGACACTTAAGGGGCCAGCTCTGGTGACACAACTAGGTGTTAAAGAAAAATATAGAGAACATGCTTTGAAGCAACGTGGCCAAGTGCGCAAGACGCAGACGTGCACGTAAGGTGCACAGACGCCTTTTCTGGACTCAGTTTTGTCCTCTTGTACCTCAGGGTCGGGTAACGGGAATCCTAATGTGGACTCCGTTTAGGGGAGGAAACTGCTGCAGCATGAGTTGGCAGCAAGAGCTGCGCAGCCGCCAGCCCCTTCGCGCTCGGAGGCCCTTCGGTCGTGGCCGTGCCGCTCGGGGGCCGCTCTGTCCACGGGCTTCTCTTTTAAACCCGAGGGCTCCGCCTGGTCCCGCGGTGGACGCGAGCGCCGCCGCAGGGGCAGCCCCGGGCGCCGCGCGGTCCCGGGCCGTCCTGCTGCCGCCCTCCTGCGGCCGCTGCGGGCGACCTCCCTCGGCCGGTGACATCACCGCAGTTCTGTTCGCGGCTCCTCCCGCTCGGCGCCTGCAGCTGCAGTGACAGGCGAGCCCGGCCCGGTGGCGGAGAGGAAGTGCGGGGCGCAGCGCCGAGCCCGACCCGCGCAGCGGCTCCCCGGCGGCTCGGTGACAGCGTCGCGGCCGTGGGGCGCAGCCGGGGGCGCCGGGCAGAGCTGAGCGCCAGGCGGAGGCTTCAGCCGAGACGCGGGGAAAATGGCTGATGACTTTGGCTTCTTCTCGTCGTCGGAGAGCGGGGCCGCCGAGGCGGCCGAAGAAGACCCGGCGGCCGCTTTCCTGGCCCAGCAAGAAAGCGAGATCGCAGGCATAGAGAATGACGAGGGCTTCGCGGCACCTGCCCGCGGCCAGGTGGCCTCCGCGCAGCCGGGACCCGCCAGTGGAGGTGAGTCAGCGCGGTGGCCTGTGAGCTGGGGCCGGAGACTAGCACCAGGGGATGTGACCCAGGCGTGGCCTCCGCACAGGAGCAGGCCAGGGGCAGTGTGTTCCTGAGAGAGACCCTGGGGACAGTGGGAAGGAAGCTTGAGACCCCTGCCTGGGATCTCAGAGCTGAGGCCTGCGCTGGAGTTTGTGGATGTGCTGACGCTGGGAGCAGGAATTTGGTCATGTTACTTCATCCCGGCCAGCTCCAACACTGCCTGGCTCGGGAACCCACCCCCACCCAACCCCAAGAGTCTTCCTTGGGCCTTCTGATAGCTTTGCCAGACTGGACCTGGGCTCAGACCTCTTGGCCCCTCAGGCTTGGCTCTGACATCTCTGGCAAGGCAGAGAATACTTGGTGCTCTGAGAACTGGCCCATCTTCCCTGGGGATCACCTGCCACCCTGTAGCCACTGGAATAGGAAGGCTTAATCATTTCGTATGAATTCCTGGGCCCATTTCAGAGCTGGCAAAACTAAGGATCAAAACACACACCATTGAAATAACTAGTAAGCAGCAGATCAGGATTACACTTGTTTCTGTCAGACTCTGAGCCCTTTCCACCTGACAACTCTGTCTTCTGTGTGTCTGGTTCTGAATTAGATCTCAGAGTTAGGGTGGGGGCCCAACGGGGCATCCATCAGATGTGCTCCTGCCTTTCAGGCGTTTGAACTGTTTAATGAACCATTTTCCAAAGGCAGTCCAGAGCTCTTGGGGTTGGCTTCAGACCTCAGGGTTCAGGCCCTGGTTCTTGCAGTATTATGTTGATCAATGATGGTCCTGTTCTGATTGTAGCTCAAAAGAATAATTTCTTAAAATATTTAATAAAGAAGTAGAGATCACATTCATATGTGCATCCCAAACACATTTTCCTGCTACTGTTATCATTTTGGAAGGGTCTGTGTGCCCTCTGAAATAAGGGTGTATGTGTGTGTGTGTGTGTGTGTGTGTGTGTGTGTGTGTGTGATGGTTAGGAGGCTCCTCAGTCACATCTGCATTCATTCAACATTCGCTGAGCACCTACTGAATGCTAGGTCCACTGGGAATACAGAAATCAACAAGACCGTTCTTGTGCCTAGGGAGTTGAAGCAGACTGGAAGCCCCTTGGTATAAGAAATGTGACAACTCTTTTGTAATATATAAGAAACTGGATGCCCAGAAATTATGAATATGTGGCCTAGAGTGACACAGCTATGAGTAACAGATCTGGGACTTGATTTTGGGCCTCTCAGCTCTGGACTCTATAGTCAAATGCTCTGGTGGTCATTTGGGGAGCTGATTAAATGTGAGTATGAGGAGGTGGGAGTCTTTTGCTACCTGACCAAAGAAGCAGTGGAGGTCTTCTGAAGCAGGAATGTACCGCCCCTTGAAACAGACGCTCCCATGCCCCAGGGGACCCATCGGAAGTGGTTGTCCAAGTTCATGCATTGGTAGTCACTTGTCTACACTTTCCTGCATAGGACTATCCATCCCCTAACCTGGCTGTCTGACTGTAGGAGACTACACACTGTCAGAACTCTAGGAAAGAGGAGGGCAGGTAGAGTTCAGCCTGAGGCTGGCCAGAGGGAACTGACTGGGTATTGAGTAAGTTGTGCCCTCTTTCAGGACAGAGGGGCTCCAGGGCCTTGCCACCTAGATGGGAGGACCCCTCTCTGGCAGGGTGGGGCACCAGTTGTATCCAATATAACAGGGAGAGAAACAGCAACATGCTGTCTCCTTTCAGGGAGTTGCCAAGGACACAGCCCTCTGAGGGGCTCCCAGACTCATACTTGTGGAGGCCCTTCAAATGCTTCATTGCCCTTCTAAGTGGATAGCAGGAGCAGGGAGGTACTGTAGGTTGTGACTCAGTGGGTGAGCAGACATGGATAGACTTGATCCAGTCTTTCTAAGCCTAGGCAGTGCTGAACAGATAATTTCCTACCCACCCATGATGAATGGATCAGGCTGAGGAAGAGTGTTGGCCCGCTGGGAGCTGGGGGGAAGCTGGCTCCAGCAGTGGCCACCAGTCAACCCCTGAGTCATCTTCTAGATGATGGGGTCCTCTGATGGGTGATCTCTGTACTAAGCACTCTGATTTTGGGCTTCCAGGGCCCCTAGAGAAAGAGATGTCTGGTGCAGACCTGAGCCTGAGCCACACTGAGCCTCTCTTCTGGGCTGCGTTTGTGGCCTACATGAGCCACGGACACTTGTTTCCATTCATCAGCCCTGGGTTGAACCCAAGAGGTTCACATTTTCACGCCCAGTTTCTGGATGCCAGGCCTGGCTGTGACTTGTTTGTCAGCTCCAGGCAAGCCCATTTCCCCTGCTGGGCCTCAGTAAGCTCAGAGGAATGTTCTGGTCCCTCTCTGCCCATGTTTCAAAACGGGTCAGGCACCTAGGGATCACACACACACACACACACACACACACACACACACACACACACACAGGGGTTTATCCCTGGGCCTTGCATTTACCTTGTTCCTGTTCTGCAGGCTCTGGCTTCTGACCCCTGATTATAAATATGAAGTAATCAAAGGGTTTAGGGGGAGCAGATACCGGTCATTCTGTGTGGATTGGTGTGTGTTTTCAGAGAGGCTGAAACACATCTCCACAGGGAACTGAGGCTGGAGCAGAGACTTTATGGAGGCCCAGTAGGCCCTGAGCAGCTACCTGCAATGAGAGGTCTGAGACCACAAGTAGTCATAGAGGGGCTGGTGCAGCTTCTCCAAAAAGTTCCATCATTGGGAATGATTGGCAAGCTAAGGCCCTGGGAGAGGAATCACCCCAGGAGAAACCCTTTTGTGGAAGAGGTCACCACTGAAACCCCATAGGTCTCTTGCATTGGTTCCACCCTCATTTAGGGACCCATGGCAGAGGCTTTTTCTGAATGGGTGATAGTGACAGCTGACATAGTAGCCCCAAACCAATCACTGCTTGACTTTGCAAATAAAGTAAAAAATAATTTACATTAACTGGGAGTTACTGATATGAGATTAAGTAACTTTTCCTTCAGTCCTGTTAGTCCTCAGGCCTAACGCGTTGTCACTACTGGTTACAGTCTTGTGTGATCTGTGGAAGTATATTTGCTCATTTGTGGTAGCTTTGTGTAGCCTCTTATTTTCTTTGCCAGGAGACACTGCAGTTTCTGAGAGGCCTTGCAAATTATAGTGGGCCTCAAAGAGCAACCTAACTCCCATTTAGCCACCCATTGGCCACCCATTCTGTGTAGAAGCTGTTGGAAGCTGAATAGGATACAGAGCCTGGTAAAGGAGTAGCTGCTTCTGAGGGCCACAGGTAACTGCACAATGCTTGGTGATGTTCTGGAAATGAGGCCTTCCATCAGTGCCAAGGGGCGCAGAAGAAGCAGGTGAAAGCTTCCTGGAGGAGACAGCTTGTGAACTAGAAAGTATTCTTTAGAGAGGAATACAGAATATATGGTTTGTGGGTAGGAAGTGAGTCAGAAAAAAAATGGACAGAGCCAGATTTAAAGCTGCCCCGGACCTGCACTTCAGGGTTGGATGTACTCATTAGGCAAGTATTTATGTATTGATACTACACATGATCTTAGCCAAAAGGCCAAGAAGCAATAGGCAAGTATTTATCGCTTTGACTCCTGCCTGAGTGGAGGGTCCATTCAAGTGGGGAAGACAGATACTAAATGCACAGATGAACTAAGTACATATCTGTTCAAGGTAAATGCTATAGAGCAGATACTTCTGGGGAGCAGATACCAGAGATACCTGAATGAGACAGGTGATCAGAGAGGCCCTTTAAGGAAGACCAAGCATGAGCAGAAGCTGAAGGGAGTGAGGGAGTGGTCCATGTGGGAGTGTATAGGACAACCTTCCAGAGGCAGGGCACTGCACTTAACAAAGTCTCCAAGGAAGAGCTGGGCATGATGGTGGCACAACTGTGATCCCCGACTTTGGAAGAGAGAGACAGAAAGATCACAAGTTCCGGCCCAGTCTTAGAAATTTAGTGATTAAGAGGGCTGGGAATGTAGCTCAGTAAGGTTCAATCCTTACTACTACAATGTAGAAAGGAAGGAAGGAAAGAAAGAAGGGAGGGAAGGTAGGAGGGATGAAACAAGGAAAAGAAAGGAGCTAGGCATGGTGGTGCACATCTGTAGTCCCAGGTCCTTGGTAGTCTAAAGGAGGGTAGTGAATACAAGTCTGAGGCCACCTTAGAAAATTTAGTGAGACCTTATTTCAAAGCAAAACAAAGCAAATTAGAGGGCTGAGGGTGCAGCTCAGTGGTAGAGTGTGTGCTTAGCATGTATGAAGTCCTGGGTTTAATTCCCAGTATAGGGGAAAAAAAAGAATGAATGAATGGATGGATGGATGGATGAATCCATTTTTTTTGTTTTTGTTTTTTGTGGAACCGGGCATTTGTTTATTTAATGACTACCATAATTATTGAATTCTTACAAAGGCATAGACATGTTGTAGATGGCTCTAAGGAAGATAGTCTTGAGGAAAAAGAAAGGAGAAAGAGCCAAGTTTTGCTTTCCAGATGTCTAGCAGGATGGACAGACCAAAGCAGGCAAGCACTGGTGAGGGCCCAGGCTGGAGCTGGGCATCAGGGAGAGTGTGGATGGCATCTATGAAGGTCAGTGTTGCAGAAGAAACTGTAGGAATTTGTGACTAATAAGATGTCAGGCAAAGGGATCTGGAGGAGTCACTGCTGAAGGCAGAGTAAAATCCTGGGAGGGGCACAGAGGAAAAATAGGCCAGGTGCTGCCCAGTGGGAACGGTGGTTCCTGCTCTCCCAGGTAGAGCAGTTGCTCAATGCTCCACCAGGGCAGGCAGAGACGTGCAGGGAGCCCCTGCACTACACCTACAGCACCTCTCTTCTTTACCCTGGAAGCCCCTGTCCTGAACCTGCAGCATCTCTGCCTACTTACCAGGTCCAGACTCCAGACAGCCAGGCCATTCCCAGCTACACTGTGTGTTGTTAACTTCAGGTATATAGGAAACTTCTACTTCAGCAATCACATGGCCTCTCCAAGCACTTGAGGCCCTATCAAATGTTAAAACTTCATTATAGAGCCATGAAAATCAAATGTGGTGGGGCTGGAGAGATGGCTCAGTGGTCTAAAGCACCTACTTGAAACAAGCTTGGCAAAGCACAGGGACCGCGGTTCGATCCCCAGCACCACATGCCAGCCAGACCCGCCCCCTGGTGGGCTGAGCTGGCCACACACACACACACAATAAATAAATGTAATAAATAAAAATAAATAAATATTTAAAAAAAAAAAAAGAAAATCAAATGTGGTAATGACTGTGCATGGCAATGCAAACAGTCAAGGATCAAGCTTGAGTTATTTATGTATCTGTTATGTCTGTGTGTGGGGTTGGTGTGTACATGGGCGTATTAGAGGTTGGGCCTGGCACTAACACAGGACCATTCTGTACTTGCTATAAGCTGAACAATAAGTGATGCTGTCTCCTTGTTCTTTTTCTAGCTGGCTCTGAGGATATGGGGACTACAGTCAATGGAGATGTGTTTCAGGTAAGCAGTTGGGTCTTAGCAGTGGGTAGAGGGCGCTGACAGCCTAGGGCTCAACCATTTCTGGCTCCATCATCGGTAGGCTTAGTGCTCCATATTTTGTTCATGATATGTAGTGTTTTAAGATGGTAGTTAGAGGAAGGGTTTGATGTGTCTACTTGTCAAACAGGAGGAAGGGATGAAGAATACGGACCTCTAGAGACAGGGATAGATGAGCAGCCTCAGATTATCCATGGTGGGATCTAGCTCCAGAAGGGAGAAATAAAGTGGCCCACCGTGGTCTACAGGGAGTGAAGGAGGTACAGGGCCCTGCCTGAGCATGTGCACTAATGGGAAATTGAACTGCGAGGCCATCTCCCACACACATCAGCACTTTAGAGGGGCATGTCCTATGATGCAAAGGTTCTACTTCTTGGAATTTTCCCTAAGCAAATGTTAGAAAAGAAAAAAAAGTGTTAGAGAAGAGCACCCAGCTTCTTTGCAGGATTATTTATAATATCAGACAAACCAGAGACAACCTAAGTGTCCTGCATCAGTGGCCTGGATAAATATTGGAAACCATGCTGTTGTTACAAAGGGCAGGGTAAGAGCTTCCCAGACTGACAAAGATGCTGACCCATATATTAAGTGGAAAAGAGCACAGTGTAGAATAATACATAGAGTATGGTCCTATTTTTTTTTAATTCAAAAATGTTTGCATAAAGTGGGGCTTGATGGGACATGTCTGTAATCCTAACACTCTGAGAGGCTAAGGCAGGAGGATTGAAAATTTGAGCCCAGCTTTGATGGCTTAGCAACGAGGCAAAAGGCAAAAGAGGTCTCAAAAAAAAAAAAAAAAAAAAAAAGGGCTGGGGATGAAGCCCAGTGCAAAGGCCCTGGCTTTAATTCCCAGTACAAAACAAAAAATTTTTTTTGCACAGAATATCTGAAAAGGTGTGCCCCAATGTTAACAGTTGCTACCCCTGAGGGTAGAGGGTAGGGTGGGGATAAGAAAAGTCCTTTCACTTTCACTGGATTAAAAAAAAAAAAAAAAAACTTTAGAAAAATGGTGATTCTATAAAGAAGGCTTGGTGGCCCATGCTTTGTAATCATGGTACTTGGGAACCTGAAGTGGGAGGATGCCATGAATTTGAGGCCAGCCTGGGCTACATAGTGAGTTCAAGGCCAGGCTGAACTACATAATATAGACCCTGTTTCAACAACAACAAACAAGTTATTTATATTACAAAAAGGGAGAAACCTAGTGAAACTATTCCTATGGGGTAGAGATAGAGCTCAGAGGCAGAGTGCTCGCTTAGCCTTGACAATTTCCTATGTTCCATCCTCAGCACTTGGAAAACACTCTACCCAAAGACCTAAAGACTGTTCCTCAGGCTGGGGATGTAGCTCAGTGGGGAAGCCCTGGGTTTGATTTCCAGCAGCACAAAAGAAACAAACAAGACTGTTTCCCTGTGTAGTCAGCTAAATCCTTCCCATTGTGTATACACATCAGTTTTAGAGAACTTAGACTGAGAGAACTGAGATCACAAATGGCATCCCCAGAACCTCACAAAATGCACAGTTCTCACCTTGACGCGCTAGGTGTCTGGGTAGGGCTGAGCCTACACTGAATTCAGCTTGGTTCCCACACTGATTAGCTCAAAGGGGGCAGCCCCTGGGAAATGTGAGGCTTGGAGGAGTTGGCCTCTTGAATCCTCTGGGAGAATAAACTGTTTTCTTACATAAGCAGGATGGGCTGGTACAAGGAGACTGGCCAAGTTCTGTTTTTGGAAAATTACTCAACGATTAGCAAGGTAAAAAAGTCAGTCTCTGGGACTGTAGCAGCTTCCTGTCCAGCTGAACCTGACAGAGCCACTAGGGGGTCCAGTTATAAACCTGTTCCTCAGTGAGGCCTGAGGATAAGCCTGGCCACATCTATTCTAGCTCCATTTAGTACCCAGAATAGAGGGAGTCTGGGAAAGGGACAGTAGGCCCCTGAAGGCTTCTCCTTCCTCTCAGCCTCTGCCTATATAAACCCCCTCCCCCACCATCCTCCTTTGAGCTACTTAGAGGAATCAACAGCTCAGCTCAGCATAGCTTTAGCCAGTTAATCCTCAAGACGGATATGCCTTATCCTACTGGCTGTCTCTGGAGTCACAGCACACCCTTGGCCAGCATGGCCTACCCATGGCCAGAGGGTCTCAAGGAGGTGCCTGGCATGGGAATTCTTCAAGAGAGTGTGTCAGGGAGCAGGGCCAAGATAAGCCTGCTTGGAGCCATCCGTCTTCTGGTACTGGGTATTCCTGACTCCATTCCTGAATTTGGGAGGAGCTCAGACCATTTCTGTAGCCACTGAGGAGACCCCTGGCTGCCAATCTCCTGGCAGTGAGCTGATCTGCCACTCGGGGTGTCCAAATGATTAAGGAAGAGCCCAGTTGTGAGTCCCTCTAACACTCACTGGCCGTGGCAGGAAGATAGATCCAGAGAAGTGTGGGGAATAGAAGTCAACAGACAGCTTCTCAGAAGCCAGGTGTAGCCTGGAGGCTGAGGCAGGAGGTCTGAAAATTTGAGGCTAGCTTGGTAATTTAGCAATTTAGTAAAGACCCTGTCTCAAAATAAAAAGTAAAAATGGGTTGAAGATATAGCTCATTATGAAGGACCAGGGTTCAATCCCCAGTACCAAAACAAACAAATAACAACAGCAACAGAAACCCTCATTTTCAGGATGGTGCAACGAGGGCCAGGATGTCTGGGGAGGAGTGAACCATGACAGCCCAGCCACCCCTCACAGAGCACCCTCTATGAGCTATGGGCATTTCCACAGCACTTGTTTCTTTCTTTCTTTCTTTCTTTCTTTCTTTCTTTCTTTCTTTCTTTCTTTCTTTCTTTGTTTTGTTTTGTTTTGTTTTGTTTTGTTTTGTTTTGTTTTGTTTTGTTTTTGCAGAACCAGGGATTCAACTCAAGTCCTTGCACTTGCCAGGCAAGCGCTTATTCTACTGAGCTATCTCCCCAGCCCAGCACTTGTTTCTTATGATTTTATGTATATCATGAATGGGATGTTGTCACCATTCTTTAACAGACTTAAAAGCCAATCTGCTCAGGGAAGGGTCTTTTTCAACAGTCATTACCCAATAAGTGGCAGAAGAGACTGAAAGCCCCGTTCCTCTGATGCTGTGTCCAACATTTATTTTGCAGTGCTGGGGACTCCAGGCATTATGCATGCTAGGCAAGGACTCCATCACTGAGCTATATCCCTAGTCCCTGTATCTTTTCTTTTCTGAGACAGGATTTTGCTATATATTTGAAGCTAATTTTGAACTCACTATGTAGCCCAAGCTGACCTCAAGTTCAGCTTCCTGAATGCTGGTATTAGAGGTATATGCCACCACACCTGCCATCGCAGATTACTTTATGATCAGCCACTATTTTATTCATTTGGTTAACTCAGTTTTTGGGTGTCATGGCCTATGCTGGGTAGGAGATACAGGGCCAAATCCATGGGGCTGTTGTCCTCATAGAGTTTGTGTCTAATAGGGCACAGAGACCTGGAAAGAAGTAATCGTTGTTTGGGATGGTAGGAGGCTCAGGTGGAGAGTCAGAATAACAATTTGAAGCTAGGCTAATGTTCTATAATGCCTGTAGTCCTAGGTGATTGAGGCAGGAGGACTACAATTTGGAGGCTAGTCTTGGTGGGCAACATAGCCAGACCTTATCTCAAAATAAAGGGGGGAGGGAAGGGGAGGGAAAGAGGGAGAGGAGAGAGAGAGAGAGAGAGAGAGAGAGAGAGAGAGAGAGAGACAGAGAGAGACAGAGACAGAGAGAGAGAGACAGAGACAGACAGAGACAGAAAGACAGAGCCAGGGAAAGAGAGAAGAGGGAGGAGAGGAGAGAAGAAAAGAGAAGGAAGGGGAGGGGA